AGCTAGCCTCAACCACTGAACCACTTTGTTATCTTAAAAACCAGGACGATGGATAAAGTCCAAAAACCCAACATATCACCTAGGAATGAAGTTAACTAGATAAATTAATTAGGCTAACTCGAATTACAATGAATATTACACAAGCAAAAGTTAAAATAAATAATAAACTAAGTGAAAATTTTGAATTTAATGCTGGAGTCAAGCAAGGGGATGGTTTATTAGCAGTACTATTCATAGTGGCATTACACAGTGTAATAAAGAGCATTGATCAAAGAGGAACAATTTATATAAAATCAAGCCAAATATGTGCATATGTGGATGACACTGTCATAATAGGTAGATCAAAAGAAAAGATAATCGAGATATATAACAAATGGAAGAAAAAGCAAGAAAGATAGGATTAGAAGTAAATGAGAGAAAAACAAAATATATGATTATGTCGACATCAGAAAGTAGAAGGAAACCACAAGATTTAAAGGTAGAACATAAATTATTTACAGGAGTGAGCAATTTTAAATATTTAGGAAATATGATCAATAATGGCAATAGAAATGATAATTGGGTTAAAGAAAGGATACAAGCCGGAAGCAGGGCCTACTTCGCAAATCTTTGTACACTTAAAAGTAAAATAATATCAAGAGCAGCTAAGCTATGAGGATCTTACTGAAAGTCATGAGCAACAATTTTTTGTAAAGTAACATGCTTTATTATTGACAAACCAAATACACCACCTCAATCTACAGACCTTTATTTATTTTTCCACATAATCACCACTTCTTTGTACACATTTCTCCCAGCGTTCTGGGAGTTTGAAAATTCCCCTTCTGTAAAATTCCGTTCCAGCCATCTGAAGATGCTGACGCACTGCTTTCTGAATTGCCTCCTATGTCTCAAAACGTTGTCCACGCAGCTGATCCTTCACAAATCCGAAAAGATGGTAGTCGGAGGGTGCCAGATCAGGGCTATAGGAGGGGTGTAGAAGAACTTCCCACCCCATCTTTGCAATTGCTTCAAATGTGAGGCGAGCGGCATGGGGGCGAGTGTTGTCATGCAGGATGATGATGTTTCATCCCGGACGTTTACCGCACAATGCACGATGGAGTTTGTGCAGCGTCTGGACATATGAGCAGCATTGATGGTTTGCCCAGGTTCCAGGAATTCGGCGAGAATAAACCCCTCTGGATCCCAGAAAACTGTGCCCATCACCTTCGCAGCTGATGGCATTGTCTTTGCCTTCTTTTTTGATGGAGAATGCAATTGGTGCCATTCCATACTTTGCTGTTTCGTTTCAGGCTCGAAGTGGTGAAACCAGCTTTCATCACCTGTCACAATACAGAGCAAAAAATCATCACCTTCGTGTAGATATCTCTGCAGCAGTTCTGAGGTGATGGCTTATCGCTGACATTTGTGGTCTTCGGTCAATAACCGCGGGATCCAATGAGCACAAACTTTCCTATAGCCCAAGCTTTCAATCATCTCCTGTTCTGCACTGTGCCCTATTCCAAGTTTTCAGGCTATTGTGTCCACAGTCACACACCTGTCAACTTGAATGATCTCATCCACTCCTTCCTTGTTGCGTTCAGTCAAGGCTGTTCGAGGACGACTGCTCCGAGGCTCATCTTCAATGCTGGTGTTCCCATTTTTAAAATGTTTCACCCATGCACACACTTCCATAAGCACGCTGAAGTCTCTGGTGAAAATCTGCAGCAGGGATTTCCTCTTTCACAAGAAATTCGATGACAGCACACTGGCGAACCGACATCGTTGTCGGCCATTTTGTTAGGAGTGATACTGGTCATGTGATGCAAGCTACTGATGTCACAATACACTCAAGGTTAACATAACAGCTGGTTCTACCTACCACTATACTCTCTTTCGTCTGCTGTTCCCAGGTTGCATGCAAAAAAAAGTTGCTCATAACTTCGGTACGATCTACATACAAGTATACAAAAAATTAATAAGACCTGTTGCTACATACAGGGCAGAAACATGGACCTTACCAGTAACAGAAGAGAATGCACTGAGAATGTTCGAGAGAAAAATAATATGCAAAATATATGAACCAGTGGTGGAAAATAATATATGGAGGATAAGATATGATGAAAAAATAACTGAAAGGAGAAGATATAGTAAGATTTATCAAGTCACAGAGAATAAGATGGTTGGGGCATGTCAAAAGAATGGAAGATAATGCAATGCCAAAGAGAACGTTAGAAGGAAGGCTATATTCCAAAAGAAGAAAAGGAAGACCCAGGATGAGATGGCTAGACAATGTTGAGAATGACCTGAAGAAGATGAAGGTGAAAGGATGGAAAGAGAAAATGAGGAATAGAGAGCAGTGGAGACTCGTTGTAGAGGAGGCCAAGGCTCAGCCATGGCTGTAGCGCTGAGTGGTAGGTAGGTAGGAGTTACAACACTGTGTAGTCCCATAGGTACCAATGTTCTAAAGGAACATACCACCTCCATCTTAACCCTGATGATTAACAAAATGTTTGTAGGATTTGTGGTTCTTACAGCACTGGATCTATACATCCACCCCCACCCTCCATATGCTTTCATGGCATAGTGCTTAATTAGTCAAGCACAGGGACAACTTTACCCCTTTTGTCCAGCAGTGGTTTTGAAGTGTTCTGTCTTCTGGGATGTAATGCCATGTAGTTCACTGAAAGCAAAGCTCATTTCCTACTTCATGCTGGTGCCTTGCTTGACTTGCTCTTCAGGCCTGAAGATGCAGATGACATCCTCTTCTAAAACACTGGCTGACTTTCGGTGGACTACATGGTGTTATATGCCAGAAAAGACAGAACTAATCAAGGAAATGTTATTTCAAAATGCTAGTATTCACTAACTGGACTATAACACAGTGTTGTAACTCAGAAGACCACAATATGAGATGAGAAGATATTTGTGTATAATGAAATAAGAAAAGATGGTTGCTGTGAGATCATACAGTTTGTCATAATGTTTTGTGCATATGTCACTTCAAGTATATTCAAAATAGGAAATATGTAGTAAATCTGCCTGGCATTGTCCTAGCACAATGTACATGTACAACAGGGAAAAAGTACTGCCTTTCCTTTCAGTACATACTGAATACTTAATATCACACAGACTGCATATGGAACACTGCATCCATCAGTTCTTGTACTGTTGCATTTGTATTCATTGCAACAGTAACATGCTTACTGAGCTGCTGAATAGCAATGGTCCAGGAATATGTAAACCAAGCAGCTGCATAACAACAGTCTGGGAACACTTTAATTATGCAGCTGCCTAACAACAGTTTGGGAACACATTTACTGAGCAGCTGCCTAACAACAGTCTGGGAACGCATTTACTGAGCAGCTGCCTAACAGTCTGGGAAGGCATTTACTGAGCAGCTGCCTAACAACAGTCTGGGAACACATTGACCGAGCAGCTGCCTAACAACAGTCTGGGAACACGTTGACTGAGCAGCTGCCTAACAAGTCTGGGAACACGTTGACTGAGCAGCTGCCTAACAACAGTCTGGGAACACACAGACTGAGCAGCTGCCTAACAACAGTCTGGGAACACGTCGACTGAGCAGCTGCCAACAAGTCTGGGAACACATCGACTGAGCAGCTGCCTAACAAGTCTAGGAACACGTTGACTGAGCAGCTGCCTAACAAGTCTGGGAACACGTTTACTGAGCAGCTGCCTAACAAGTCTGGGAACACGTTGACTGAGCAGCTGCCTAACAACAGTCTGGGAACGCATATACTGAGCAGCTGCCTAACAATGATAAGGGAGAGCAAGGTGCTCTCATAAGCAAAAATTTATATTAAATCTCTACCCAGAATTGTTGTTCCGCCTCACCAAAGGTGCAAAGACACTGCACATACTTGTTACACTGACCCTTATTATGTTGCTTGAGCCATGAAATTGATTGCTGTTGGGTAGAGCATTGCTAGCTGCTGAATGGTAACAGTTACATCCACTGGTAAGGATATTAGTGACGTTCAGTATACTACCAGCCAACTGGCACAGCACGTCTCAAAGAAACTGGCATTTTAAATTTATCCCTAGAACCCATACTACTATTTTCAGGTGTTTAAAACCTCCCCATGGACATCATCTGCCATTGTGCCAAGTTTGCTAGATACTGGTGCAACAAACAGATACTCTTCTTTATAAATATTATAGAAGGACGCGCCGTAGCTCAAGTGGTTAGACACTGGCTTCCCAACGTGGTGGCCGGGTTAGATTCCGGGTCAAGTGGAATTTGTGGTGGACAAAGTGGTGATGGAGCAGGTTTTCTCCAAGTACTTCGGTTTCCCCTGCCAATCTTCATTCCACCAAATTCTCCATCACCATAATCACCCAGGGCTGGCTACAATAGGCCAATCAGTGGCTGCTGTGCCGAGTGGATATTACAGATATGGATAATTTTGAAACACAAATATCTATTAAATTTTATACCTTTTTTGACATTAATGACAATTTGCAAATATAAAAAATATAGGACTCTCCTGATTATCTTGTTTATGGTTTATCTGCTCACCTTTTGAATATTTGTAATTCTATGGAGAAACTGTTCATTAAGTTCATTAAGTCTTTCAGTCTGTAGTCATGAAAAAAACTCAAGAACCACTGTATATATTTTCATAAAATTAGATATGCAAAGATTTCAGGTCATGATCTTGATAATTTTTTTTTGCAATACTGTCATAATTGCTCAATTCCTCTGAAGGCTGACAGACTCATCTTCTGTGCCCTACCTGCTTGAAATCATCATGCTGCATACTCTTCAGATGTCATTATTAACGTGACTAGAGGCCAGATGGCTAGGGTTCAATTCCTGGTAGAGGTTGCAGTTTTTCTCTTTGCTGTCCATCCAGATCAACAATGGGTACTGGGAGCTCTTTCCCCATGGCTAAAGTATTTGAAAGTGATGCCAATAACTCTCCTACACATAGTAACAAGTCTGAGATGGGAGTTCACCTCAATATGCCACAGGAGTAATTTTAACTTCTATTTACTTTTGCCTACAGTAGCAATGGCACAGCTGTTATGTAAATTCTGAGGCTGTAAAATTCTAAACTGTGAACACCTTCCAATTGATGGTAATAACTGACAAGCCATAAGAAATTTTACATGACTAGAAATTGTAAAAAATATCTGTAAATTTTGTATGGAAACTTCCTGTATGAAAATATATTTTTGTGTAGCCCAAGTGGGGGTGTGGTTCTGGCAGATAAATCACCTTCCAATAATGGCACTTTATGCTGTTTGAGAACCACCAAGCCCACCTCCCCCTCCCTCCAGAGATGATTCTGGAGAGACCAAGGTCAGTCAAGGTCTTGTGTGGAGGTTCAGAAACAGACTTCTCTGGAATGTAAGCATGTAGAATAAGTAGTTGCAGTGTGAAATATACTCGTGTGGGAAAGCAATGTGCTGAGACTAGTTCAAGAAGATGGAGCAGTGGATGCACAGTGGAACAGTAGTGAATAAGAAAGAATCAATGTCAAGATTGTGGCAACCTGTAAATAAATGCTCCAGAACATGACAAATGTTACAATATCAATGGCTTGAATCTTTGATGTCTCTTCACGTACACAGTTCTTGACCTGAATGTAAGCATGATTAAAATGTGTTTATGACATGAAACTCCAAATCTGATTATCGTTAGCATTTAAGCCAGGACTTTTCAGTCTTCCCAATATGGCTGCACTCTGGAAGGCCAATAACTTGAAGCACACCAATTATAATCATACATCATAAAGTTGTGTGTAAATAATTATGGTCACTATCATTTGCACATTTCTTGTGTTTTATATATGCAATGGAACCCTCATTTATTGTTCCTCACTTTAAAATTTCCTTCATTTAATATTTGATTTTAATGATCCAAAGTCATAAATTTCTCCCATTTAAGATTTTCTTCAGTTTACTGATCCCCCCACCCCCAAATTAAATTGGAGTTTCACTGTGTAATATGTAATGTTAATCTCAGTAAAAAGGAAAATTTAATAGATTGTGAACACTTTAGGAGCAAGCAGTAAAATTGAATATTACTTCATAAGCTGGTGGTAATACCTTTTTATGTGGCAAAGGGAATGATACCAACACTTTGGGACAAGGATGTACATGATATTAGTAATGAGGGTGCGATCCAATGCCAGACACCAGAGGTTTCATAACAGCAACCCATGGAGCAGGCAGGTGATATGGAGAAACTGCTTAAGTCACCAATCATGTTTAAGGGATACTGCCAATCCTCCACAACTCTCAAATCATATGAAGGGGTAAATGTTAATGAGCAACAGCTATCACAAACTGTGTCCAAATAAGGTACATATGATGAAACAAAATCACATATACAAATATGAGATCTGAGGTTCTCATGGTGGCAACTATGATGATTACCGTCTCCTGCGATGTGATGATGTATGGTCTCATAAATCGTCATCCATGTTCTGGAGGAACCTGCTGCTTCCATCTTAACCTGATGATGAAGGGAGCAGTTACTCTGATATGTTACTACTGATATACCAGATTACATGTCATCACAACACAAGAAAAGTAATCATCACAGACATCATGAGAACCACGGTAGTGATCAACTAAGCGCTCCATCTCTACATGACTATTTCCACACACAGGAGCTTCTGACATTTTGGAAACTTTCTCAACTTTGCTATTCATACTTTTTTAATTAGATGAGATGGCAAGATGAATATAATAAATATATAAAGTCTCTATTAACTTTCTCCATACAAGTTGAGTAATGACACTGTCCCTGTGTAGTGTAGAAAGAATATCAAATGTAGTCCAAAGACTCTTGCATAAGTATATAAATAATTCTTCAATATATAATGAACAATATTGCTTTATTGTATTTATGTAAACTCTCTTAACAGGCACCAAATTTATTAAAAAAAACTCAAGAAGGAAGAAATGACTGGCTTCCAGTTTGGTTTATCACATACAAGCAAACAGGAATCAATACCAATACACCGAGTTGGCTTTCAATTGTTCAATGTGTCCAATACATGATTATTTCTTGCTCCATGCTTGTGACATTATTTCTGATGACCCAAGGGCTGGGAAATGGTTCTCAAGTGTATGACTACTAACATGGCGACTGAGATCGGCAGCTGACAAAACCTGCTGACATGTTGCACATACCTCAAAGTCCAGTGCAGACAACTTTCCACTCTCAGCATGGACAGACCACAGCTCCTGCACATAAAATTTGTCAATTAAAAATGTTACTACCCAATCATGGGGTCATACAGTAGCATTCAGATCTGAGCTGAACTTTGGTCTATTAAGAATCATATGGCTGACACAGTCATTAATGTCATTGGTTACATCCTGTTGTGTGTTCCAGATATATATAGGAATCAGGTTAACCCTCGACACAATAAATATACTGATCAGTCTACATCGAACCAATGCACAGTGAACATATATACACCCAGGCAAAATGCATACACCATATTTTATGATCATATATCAATAGATATCATGAAATATGCACACTTAATATACCACACATTAACCCGCACATCACAGAAACTTCTCTCTGGGCTCCACAACCAGGCTTACTACATAGAAAGCTTCTACAACAAAGACCTACAAACAACATACATGCCCGGTTTTCTACTCTGTAGCAGTGAAACCTTAGTAATAAGTTGGCATACTTATTTATTAACCTCCCATACTAAATAGTTGAAATATATTTTTTTAAACATATTTAAAATATTTTTAACAATTTTAATATTTCCATAAAATATTCACCACTTTATAAATCTTGATATATGGTATATATTTTTATATTTTATCTTTCACCTTATTTTGTATCTTCTATTTTAATTGTAACACCAACTTGAAGCAAATTTTATCTGTTAGTATACATGTATGACATGGTGCACTGGTATGGATCCATATCGGTAGTTCAATAACTAAACGTATTCCTATATATAACTGCCTGATGATGGTCTTGTATGACCAAAACATGTAGCAGGAATAAAGAGTCAAATTGTAAAACATTAAGAGCGAGAATATTTGTTGTGTTGACGTTAACCTAATTCCTATACATGTGTTATCAGTGTGATGCAGACTGCACAGAGGCACAAGGAGTCATCTCCACACTGCCATCATTGTTGTCAGCACCACGACCACTACTGCTGCTGCTACTACTACTACCAATAGTAGTACTACTGTCACCATCACAACATGAACATGACAATTGCTGCTGTTAATAGTATTTATACTCAGGGAACTCTGAAAGAGCCTGAAATTTATGGACTTCCCTCATTCTTAGTTCCAGATATTTTCCTGGGGCCCCCAGTCCCAAACACTCATAATTTAAAACCCTATCAGAATACTAAGAACTGGCAAAAACCATTGGCATTAACTCTCCCTGCTGTTTTCAATTTAATGGAAAATAATCTACTACTGGCATAACCATCCTATGATGTTAAATTCTGTAATGACTCACAATGACTATATGGATAAGGACGAGCACAGTCTTGCTTGGTCATGTTTTGAACAGGCCTTAATTTTTCTTACACAATTTTGTTAAGTTCCCGGAAGTGATTATTAAATATATTTTTACAACTAAGTGAACACTTCCAAACACCAAGCAATGGCTTAGACACATTAATTATTGTATAAAATTCTGTTTCTTTAATCCAGACCTAGGATTTCTCAGCTGTTTTACGGTAGCAAGTTATACAAAGGTGATAAGAGTGAAAGACAGAAGTACAAATCATGGCAGTATAACTTCTGCTCTGTGTTCACTTCAGGCACTAAAAAGTTATGCTGTACACAATCCACAACTGATAATCCTTTAAGAGTCTTACCTGTTGTTTCTCTATGTCAGGCAGAAGGACAAGAAGCTCTGCAAAGATTTCCTCAAATTCCTTTGTGCCTATTGTCTCCTGGCATCGTGTGTAGAAATCACAGGCACTGATCTCACCCTGACGAAACATTTTTGAGATGCGACAGAAATCCTCCATGGACTGAGCATCACCCAGTGTTTTCTTTACTTTGGCCACCAATGCTCGATTTCGTTGAGCAAAGTTCTGTGGTGGAACAAAACTATGAGAACTGCTCCCAGACCTTCCTGGAAGAATTGAATAGCTCTGGCCACTGCTACTAGTGAATGTGAGGCCATTGGACTGTGGTCGTGCAACAGAGTTAAGAGTCACTGAAAAGCCTGGGGGTGGAGATGTAACATTACTATCTGTGGAGATACCTCCTCCAAAGCCAGGCGGTGGTACAGATGTTAATTTTCCTCTAGTAACAGGTACATTAAATCCTGGGGGCCAAGTTCCACAACTTCCAGCAGTAGAATAGGCATCAGTTACCTCACTACTAACAGGACATATATCCTCAAAGAATCTGTTGTTGACAGCGGCAGATGATTGGTTCTTATTCTCTAGAGCATGCTGGGGCACCAGACTATCAATCAGCAATTCTGATCTCTTTCGTTCAAAACTGGATATACTGTCTGTACCATTCCCAAATTTTGGCAGTTCATCCATTTCTCTGTTTTCACAGCCATCATTACTCTCTGTACTTTGTTCCAATTTTTGCTGTGCTTCACCTTCTGCATTCCCTTGCCTTTTCTTCTTCTTCCCAGATTCACTGAGTGCAGCTTGTGCTGATTTTGTTGAAACTGAGTCACTGCTATAACTGTTGGTAGGATGCGAAGCAGAATTTTTGGCTTTCTTCTTTTTAGACTTAACCTTGATATTCCCTATGGTGTTGGTACCACTGGCAAGTGCATCATCACTCGATTTACCAGAAACAACACTTGATTCATGAGTCCTAGTGACATAAGAAGGTCCACCACACACTGTGCTGGATGAGGCAACGGGAACTGTTAGAGAAGATGCTTCTTTAGATGTAGTTTCACTTTCTCCACCTGAAGATGGGGCTGTGTTTGCCACATTACAGCCTGTGCTGAATTTAGAACTTAGACTTGGAAAGTCCTCTTCAGTTCTAAATGCTTTTGGAGCATGTATCTGTGGTTGAACCTTGGTTTTTGCTATACTGCCTTGGTTGCTTAGCCACTGTACAGAAGAACTAGGAGTGGCTGCTTTGGACTTACTAAGAGATGGAAAATCATTGTCAAATTGTGAAGGAACAGATGCAGGTCGGATACGTATGTTCTGACTGCTACCACTTGGGCGATGATTCACATGTATGGAAACATTGGTTGGAGCCTTCTGTGCACTGGCCCTTATAGAACTTCCTGCAGCAGAGTTTGGCCGATCTTGGCTTCCACTATTGACACTTAACCTGACAGTTTTACACCCACCTGTGGCTGCTTCAGGTCCTAGTGCAGGAAAATTCTCATCTGTAACTGCTAGAGGCTGAGACTGACGGACAGTCCGTATAGTCAGTCCACTATTGTTCAAGGCAACTTTACGTGAATTTTGTCTAAGTGGGGGGCCTAACACTGGAGGCACTTCACCACTAAGTGCTGGAAACTCCTCAATACAATTTGTATTGATATTTGGTGTATTCCTAAACATGGATGTCGAGTCAAAGTGCAGGTCACTGAAGTCCCTTCCAACAGCCCCTTGGGGCTCCTCCTCATCATGCCTTGTATGCTGTCTTTCACCTCCTCTTCGGCCACCTCGCATTCCATCAAGTCGTTCTCGTGGCCGTGGGGCAAGCGTAAATTCCAGTTCCAGTGTACGCGCTTGTTTTGTGGCAGCTTTCCCAATAGTACGCCCATGAACTGAGGCTCTGTGTGCTGAAACAAACCCAAAAACATTCCTGACCATGTTAAACCCAAGAACATTCCTCACTTACAGCTGGGGTATGTACATTATCTCAAACGCAGTCTGCTCACCCCTCAAATCAATTTCTGTGCGGAAGACAGACGTAAACTTTTCTTCCACGCAGCCTCCTTCTTCACATAAGTAGTGCTCAGAGCGAAAATGTTCTCTCAGATAATCATAGGAACTGTAACACACAACACATTTCCAATTGAGATATATTAAAAAGGCAGCAGGTGGTTAGTCACACACAGCTCAGAAATCAGACATCTCATTCACATGGAACTTTCAGCTGTAACCCTGTGCATATATCCTAACATAAACCAGCATATTCCCTCTCCTGTGCACGTTTGCTGACGACATGATGTACTCCCCTGTGAGAGATGCACATGCACCTCCAACCTTCATTTCTTTCTTCTGAGGTGAAAAATAACTTCAGTGACTTGGTAGCTGATGCCTGGGAAATATTTAAGTTGTGAGATAGGGTAGCAGTGAATACTGTTTATTGCCTTCAGGTCCTAGGTCGATGTGTGCCAAGTTTGTGGAATTTCTTGATAGAAATTATGGATTTAAGTGCAGGTGTCACGAAGAGTGAAGGAAGGAAGTGCTCCTCTGATTTACTGTGTCTTGCAAATATTCAAAATTGACATTTAGCGGTCACAGATTGTTAATTAATGAGGGTTTAACAAACTTGATACTGGGCAGCCTTCAATGACCAACCACAAATATCAAACCCAATAAACATGGACCACTGACAACATACCTGTACCAAAATGTGGCACAGAAATCAGAGTACTCCTGACTCAGCTGTGGAGATTACGCATTCATAGTACTGGAGGCACGAGTGCCAGGAGTGATCCTTTGATGGATGCAATGATAGTAGGGCAAGAGGAATTACAGTACTGAAGTAACTGCAAACCTCACCACCATCTTGCCTGCTGCATTAGTGCAAAATTTATATGCAAAAACAAAACCCACAGCCTAACCTTGTGTGGACCTTGGGTCTTGTTTTTACAGAACTTGTAAAGGTTGCAGTGCTAACACAGTGGACAGCATGGCAGTAACTTCTGAAGTTGCCTCCATAACCTGCTAATCCATATACTGGATTTATGATAGTCAGAGGTGTGAAATTCCATTTCTAAGGATGTTCCTCAGACTCATTATTAATACAGCCATAAGTTTGCCTTCACTGGGATGCAAATTGTGTACTAGGGTATGAATATATCTGCAGACAATAGTATATTAATTACAGAACCATTTAATTTACCTATAATACTGATGAAGCCCATCTGCATCACAAAAGTGACAGAACAGATGATCACGCCGTAAATGTCGGAATAACTCATCATTGTCCATATATCGTTGGTCACAAAATTCACATAATGGGTGCCCTCTATGGGATCTGTCATCAGGGTCACCTTTACGACGATGTAAACCAAGCTCCTGTCGTGTATAACACCTTCGTTCACCTGTGAATATCTGGAAAACATCAGTAATGAGTGTGAACAGACTGTAGATAAGATAAAGCACATTAAAGCCTGTGAAATACAGATTACAAATAGGCATAGAACATTTTGTTGACCTACCTTTGTGGACTCCAGGAGAGAAAATGCTTATTTTTATTAACTAAACCTATTTTCTTACAGATCTCTGTATACTATGAAGTGTCAGCAGTATGCACATCAACCAGCCAATGGTTCAAAACAGAACTCTGCTAATGAATAGCTCTGAAAAGAGTAGTGCCAACTTCACAGCAATGAAGTGTAAAGATTATACCCATTGGCATAAAATGGACTAAATATAAGTGTTTAATATATCTACACGTTACCATAAAGCTGTTTTGTCGTCTATAACCACCAGGAATATATGTGAAACTACTGAAAAGTGATATTTTGATCAAGACGTCAGAGTGATGATTATGCGACTTTTAAAACGTTTAATATTTATGTCACTTAGATTCTAAAGGGTTCTTACGATGGTGAACGGCACACAGAATTACTGGGTTTTTTAACTTTTCCATCATCCACAATTCAGTCTCCAGTGATTGAGATTAGCTACTTTTAAGGGGCCGAACTGAGTAGGTGTCTTCCTTTCTCACCTGAAGATGGAAACAGGTCCAGTTTCCAAAATGTCATGTCCTCTATTACCTAGAATTCCGGACGATTGAAAAAGTCCAAAAACCCAGCAATTATTTATGTCAGTGTTACATACAATTCTAATAAAAGCATACTAACTTCTGCTGTGTTAACAGTAGAAGCAAGACTGATTTCAAATGTAACACTTCCCTTCCTACAAAACGGCCAACAATGTCAAAAATTGTACCATTACCTTCAAGTTTTCAACGCACAAGTCACAGTAATACAATTCATGTTCCTTTCTCACGTGGTCTTTAAGGTTCTGAAACGTTCTAAATGCGGGGCGCCCCGGACAAACAGTACACACATGTTCCAGCAGTTTGCTATAGGCAGCTTGTATATCTGCACTGTCGAAACAAATTTTAAATTTTTTATCCATCAAGTATGAATAGTCTTTAATATTTCGGAACGGCTGCACCTCTTTTGTAAAGATAACCTGTAAAGAAACCATTCTTTAAGGGCTGGCTACAAACACAGGAAAAAATCTGAATCACTGTAAACCTGATACAATATAATTATTCTTTGCGTTATTAAGCTGTATTAAAACATGAAATTAAAAGAACATGTAAAGGGAATTCTATTTTTACCTTGGGCATGTCTTGCCTACATATGGGGCATTCGTTTTGACGACATAAAACCCTCATTCTCGTGGAACATTCGTAGCACACTGGATGGTCACACTCGCCAACAGAGTATATGAAAACATTTTTAAAGCACACAACACACGCATCTTCGGAATTTTCTGTAACAACGTTTGTTGTCATGGTGGAATACATTTTATCCTGTACTTCCTCTAGTTTATTTAAAACCATCAACCTCTACGTGATCCTATATACTGCAGGTACTGTGATCAGTCCTATATACAGTGGATGACCCGTGCAATATCAGTTGCTTTCTCTGTGATCCACGACCAAATATGCAGTAACTATGGCGGTATTTCTCAGCTGGGAACAATAAAGAAACAAAACAGTTAATCGCAATTAGGGACTACTTCAATGCTACGGTGAAAAAATCGATATCATACAACTTTCATTATGCGTTATATTGTAAAACTGCATAAAAATACTGTTCCTCAATATACTGTGACAGACTGCACCGTTTCTAGGAAACGAATACGTAAACAAAATTGTGACATGTCAAACCGCTGTTGCGCAACGGGATGTGGAATGAGTAACCACGAAGACAGACTCCTGATCTCCTGATAAACGGTCGGTTGCCAAGTTACGCAACAGTGGAACGAGGTTATGCAGCAATAAGAAATGTAAACTATCGTTGTTTACATTCCCTACAGTACGGGCAACACTTTGTTAAGATGAGGCACCGACTAAACAATTAACATTAATTTCCTACATCTACATCACGAGCCTCCTATAAAATCTTTTATACAAAAAGAAAAAATATAGAATATTCCAATTTGTCAATGGTATCGTATGATAATACAAAACCAACGACTGATTCGATGTTATAAAACATCAATTAAAATTTTATTCTTGTTCTATACTATAACTTCTGTTTTTTATATATAATCTGATTTATTGTATTTTTTACGTCAAGTGTTTTATACGTTCAATAGTATTATATTCAGTTTAATAGTATTGCAGTTCAGTGGTGTATATATGTTAACCATGTATTTGCCTGATGATGGCTATTGATAGCCGAAACATGTAGCAGAGCCGTAGCTGGACACTTACTCTGATATTTGTTGTGTTGTGACGCTTGATAAAGAAGTTGAGTACACAGCTGTTGCTAGGCAAAGCCTACAACAATACAGGCAGTGACGTGTTTTCTGTGCTGTCCGACGCGGTGTTGTATATGAGGGTTGTCTCTTCAGTAAAATTGACCAAAGAGACTATGTGGTCTACTGAGTTGGCTTAGAATGAACTACGTGTGCCATTGAATCGCTACTGAATATAGTTTTAGGCATTTAACGTTAGTAACTACATTAATAAAGTAAAATACTGTATATGATTAGAAATATTTACAAGCGTGTCTCAATTCTAGGAAAACCTATTGAATTATAAAGTTGTCATATTGTTTCATTAGTAAGTGGCAAAAAACATGGATGGAGGTGGTGCGTACGGAGGTGGAAAAGCTGGAGCTCCGTTTGATCCTATTCAGTTTGTACAGCGACCACAAGTTATTTTAAGGGCTGTTTGCCTGGTAAGCTAATTTTAAACACTGGCGTAGTATTTGTTATTAGGTGTCTGTAGTTTTACTGCATAAAAGAGATATCAATCGATTTTGACATAAGGACCGCCATGATTCTCCCGAAAGTGGTGGCGAGTCGATTGTAGAGATAATATTGATTTTTCTGACTATCACGATGTAGGTCACGATATCCAAAATTATTATTGTTAATAATATTATTATTCAGATGGGAAGTATTAGATACTGAATGTGTAATATGTCAGAAATTTTATAATTCTGTACGTACAGTGGTTGTGATAATTGTTGTTAGTACTCTGCCTTTTTTTTTTTTTTGCAGCTCTTTGCAATCATTGTATTTGGCTGCATTTCGTCACAAGGGTACAGATATGACCGGGAGGAGAAAAAGGAAGTTTGTCTTTACAATAAAGATAATAATGCCTGTAATTATGGAGTTGGCATTGGAGTCATTGCTTTCTTGGCATCAATAGGATTTCTTGTGGGAGAATTCATGTTTGAACAGATGTCATCAGTGAAAACAAGAAAGCACTACGTTCTTGGGGATTTGGGATTTTCAGGTTAGTGGCCAAATAGCAAACATAGTTGACTGCTATACCAAGTTCCCAGCTGTACAGCCACATTCGCTGACTGCAGTAATGCTGGATGGAATATAACATTACTACTGTGAAGTTGAATCTACCCTTTTCATTCCCAAGTTGCAGTCTTGGAAGATTTAATTTTGGTAAAAAATAACTAAAGCTAATACAAACTCTGACAGCCATAATTTCCCATTGTATTACATATTGATTCTTGAGTTGAAGATTACTTTCTTTTGGGATGTAACACTGTATAGTCTGGTAACACATGTCTGATGTTCTGGAGGAATGTGCTGCCTCCATCTTCTTCGGAAATGACTGTAAAATTCTATCAGATTACACAGTGTCACATGTCAGAAGACAGTAGTCTCTATAATCATCACCAAAAGGACCTCAGGTCTCAAATGAGTGCTGAAATTGGACAGCTGTTTTTCTGGAACTTTTCTTGTGCTTATACGTCTGCATTTGTTTTCAGGCTTTTGGGCTTTTTTGTACTTTGTTGGTTTCTGCTACTTGGCAAACCGATGGAGCAATTCTGTTACGCCAGAGGGTGGTTTTGGAGTGAACAATCTTCAAGCTGCAATTGCTTTTTCTTTTTTTTCTATCTTCACTTGGGTATGTACAAAGATTTTTACGTTAGTGTCTGAAGAGAGAAATGTACAGTAAATTTGTGTTACTATAATAAGATTGTATGTTGGAAACATACTGCTAGGAATATTTATTTACATTTTAAAAATTTGGGCTGTGTGTATGAAAAAGAGCTGGGATAGCTGAGTTGGTATACCAAAGGGCTTCAGGCTGGAGGGCTGGTATTTACTTTCTGGCAGAGTCAAGATTTCTCTTTTCAATAGTGTCTTAGAATGGACCCAGCTTCCTCTCCAGTGGGTACTGGGGTTTCTTTCCCATCTTCATATAGTGCTAAGCTAAAGAGTGGTGGAGCTATACCTCCAATTATCGATACATATTTGTGGTGTGGTGTCTAATTAAATAAGCACAGGGACAATTCTACCTTACCTCTACTTATATGTATGAGAAAAATATGTTGCTACTTAATGGTTATTGCACTGATAATGGCAGTGTAGGAAGAAGGTGATATACCATATTCAGTTGCATACATAAGAAGCTAAGGTTTTCTACTGTTGCGCTGTTTTTACTGTGTCATCACGTATATGTGAGATTTGTTTATAGTTATGGCTAGGACTGCCAGGTGGCAGTTAAAGGTACATACGCTTCATTCAGCACTGCAAGATTGAGAAGACATAGGGTGGTGTTAGATTACAATAATTCAATTTTGTTTTCTGCTGAAGTTTATTTTATTTTCTACTTGAAAGTGACAAGTGATTAAAGTGTGGGATTCAGGCAAAAGTACAATGGGTGTGAGTCCACGTGCTTCTGACAGTGGACTTTCCCAAAATAGAATGAGTGGCCAAGAAATGGAGGTAGATGCAATGGAAGAAATATTTGATGAAGCTGGTGAAGAAGTGGTGATGGAAGACATGGACCATGCAAAGTGAAAGAATAAGGTTGTCAAACCAAAGAAGAGGGTTGCAGGAAAAACAGGACCTGAAATGTCATCAGAATAGGAACTGATGGCACAATTTAGTGCCTTTAGAAGCCTTAAAAACCCAAGGAAATTGGTAATTGAAGACATAAAGCAGAGTACCGATAGGCACCAAAATTTAAATGAGTCACAGAATCATAACAAAGTCAAGGAGAGAACAGAAGAAGGGACAATTCAACAGGTATACTCTGAAGCACAAAATCTGGGAAATGAAGGTACACATAATGGAAAGGAAGACATGGGAGAAGGTTTGAAGGGCAACAGAAATAGAAAATTCAGTGACTTATGTTTTAAAATGTATTGAAAAGGGCTGTTCAGCATCAACCTAAAAGTCAAGAGGCCTGGTACCCCATTAGTAGAAGGAAAAAAGGGAAAGAATTGGGAACAATTTGATATCTTCAATGTTATGTCTAAATCAAGATCAGTGTTCAATCCATTAGACAGTATGCTCAATTTATTAGGGAAGTGACCTTCTTAGAAAGAATGGAAGCAAATAAAGTCTTGGACAGCCCTATAATCCAGAATGAAGGGCTAACTGCATACATACCGTGATATATGTTTTTATTTTATTGCTAGTGGGGTGGGACTAAATCCCTTGTACTGCGGCCACTTCTGGCCTATTGTACCAGCCCCAGATGATAGGTGAGGGTGATTGTGGAACAATTGGTGGGATGAAGATTGGCAGGGGAAACCGAAGTACTCGGAGAAAACCTGCCCCAGCGCCATTTTGTCCACCATAAATCCCACTTGACCAGACCCGGGATCGAATCCGGGCCGCAGAGATGGGAAGCCAGTGATTAACCACTTGAGCTATAGCATGGCCGATATATGTGATTGTTAAAGAGGGAGGCATTGAAGATGTACCGAAGAATATGTAGTTAGAAATCTCATGCAACAGCTCAACTTGAATAATTAGAATAAACACCCCATACCTTTCCAGGTAATTGATGCAGCCAGAGTTAAGATGAGAGTCAAAGAGACAAACAAAAAATCAAGGAAGAAAGATGGACATGGAAAGAGTTGAAGGCAGTATGTTTGATGTGTAGAACTAAGGAATTTCCCCCTCATATATATTTTTGCAATATGGAAATTGAAGTTACTGCTTTTGTTGCAGCAGTATGACAGTGGTACAGATGTGGGAAATTTGGCCACATAAGTAAATTTTGTGCAAAGGAAAACCAATGCTTCTCATGTGGAAGTGTAAAACATGAAGGGTATTGTATTTAAAATGCCAAAATTGTAATGGTGACCACAAAAGAAACAGCGAGTGATTCCCCGTAATTAAAAAACAGGAAAAAATAAATCAAATCGTGGCTTATAGAAATATTGGATTTTTGGAAGCATGAAAAACTTCCTGGGTTTGATTAATCGCATATATGAGTCTGTTTCTGGCTGTTTAATGTGGCCCAACCCTGTTGTCCCTTTAAGGTGAGTTACATGATGACCCAGCAGCCTCCGTAGTCTAGAGGTAACGTTCCAACCTCATGACTCGTGGTACGCGGGTTCAAACCCGGTGAAGGTTGTCGAATTTTTAAGGGCGGAAAAATTCAGGGAACAAGTCCTCCGGTAGGGACTTTAAGCTGTGTGTCCCGTGTCGTAGCTTTACGGCACGTAAAAGAACCTCATATCTCCAAAGGAGGTCACTGAGCCAAATTCAAGGACGTTTCCCGCCCAACAAGTAGTCTCTAACAAATCTGATAGATGGGGGAAGCATTATAGATACCACCAAGCTAGTGGAGGCCGAACTCGCTGGCTCGGTCGGGACTGATGGTATGCACCAATATTGGTAGGATATAGAGACTGGTAGAATATCATAGAGGGAAGCACAATGGACCAATACTGGTCTAAGTGCATGGGGAAACCCACCGTCTCCAGTAACTAACTAACTACATGATGACCCTCTCTTCCTTTAGGCTGGATGTGCTTGGTTTGCATTTCAACGCTTCCGCCAAGGCACAGCTGCAGCTTTTGCTCCAAGTTATGAGGCAGATCCAGGCTCCATCCCTGGTGGAGCCCCATATGCTTCATATCCTGTTGGACAAGAAGGTGATGGAGGGTACCAGGAACCTCCATTTTCCGGTAACCAAACCAGAGGTATGTGTTGTGCATTTTATGGATCTAAAGCGATACTACATGCTAAGTAGGATACCATATTTTTAGCGTGTTTACATTTGCACACAAGCAACAACGTTTTCTCTGTTCTTGTAAACTGTGCAGATAAGCCTGGTAGGAAGTTCCATCTCATGTATGGCAACTGCATCCAATAGGCAAGATGTACTGATATACCAAGCCCACTTGTTGTTCTGTAGTTGTATTGTTTTGTCATGTAGAATGGTAACGTACTCTGCGTTTTTAGTTCTATAGCTGTACAGAAAGCTTATAATCAGGAAGTTGGTTTTGCACAATTTGTATGTGCCCTTGAAGATTCGCAAATTGTTTAACCTTTAAGAGTCGGCATTTAAACCCCCCACGACTGCGCTGCTGCCGGAGTTAATTTGACGTTACCCTTTTAATATTGTAGACTTTCAGAAAAAACTATATATTTTCCGTTCTATGCAGCTTAGAATTACGAACTAAAAACTGCCTGAAAAAGAATGAAATTTCCTATAATATACCTAAGGCAATTTTTACAAATAAAAATTAACTGTGATTGTTATGTCATGAAATTCAAAATATACTCTCTTTTATATGTGTAATGAAATTCCAAAAGACTTACCCATAATTTTTTCTTCAAATTTGAGACGTCGTTATATCCAAAATACATTGACACTATACACCAAAATGTTTGGTCAGACTGTACACGAGTTTCAACTCGTTGCGTCGTGTAAGTTTACGCTACTATAGATACTGCGTGCGGGAGCGCGGAGAGGCAGAGTTTGCTTCAGCGCGTTGTGAAGGTCACACAGACCTCACTTCTCATACGCTGGTAGACAATCTGGTTCAGTCTCTCGCTTAGCGAACAAACAGGAAGTTATTGTTTCTATCTGGCTGGCCGGACAGTGTTGTCAATGTTCAGTTCCAGATGACTCAATGAAAAATCTTGGCTTCCCCAGAGAAACAGTCCGCCACTGACTCACAAGCTGATAATTCAGACACTCACTAAACACGTCACACTTCCTTGAGAGCTACAGAAGCAGTGATCTGCCCGCACAGAGGAATGTTGGGTCAGCTTTTCTGTGAAGAAGCTTCCACTCTGTTTGGCTGACCAAGTCACAAACAGTCTTACCTACATGTAAACGAAATCGAACCCAGTGCCATGATGAAGGGTTTTATTGTTCAGAGCCAACAATTGGACCTCTGACTTGAACTTGCGTGTGTTTGTTTTGGTTTCAAACTCAACGTCTAACCGGCAGCACTTCTAAAGTGAGCACGTGTCTTGCGTCCAGTATACTGGACTTTCGGCATCTTCGAGGTCACAGGTACCGTCCGGTATACCGGACTTTCGGTCGTTAAAGGTTAAATGTCTGTGCAGCAGATTATATAATTCAGAAATGAAGTTGACTGGGCCTGAAGGATGCTGTGATTCTGTGATGTTCTTCTTTCACTGTCTGTTTCAACAAACCTGTGTGTTATGTCACTTAATTGATTCTTGCTATGCTGTGTCAAGTTGGATGCCAAAATTAACACTTTCCAATGTAGCTAAATCTGTTGCATTGTCAATATGCAAATTTATCAGTTCTTAAGTAAGGTAAGTGAAGAAAGTAAAGCTATCCCTGTAACAGCCTGTGGAGGTCTATAGAGTTGTGAGACGTTGAGGTTCCCACATTTTCTATACAGTTGGCTCTCTGATGGCAGTGAGGTTGTCAGCCTTATGCACTGGCCATTTTTAACCCCCTCAAGGTTTCTAGTACTCATTTCTATTAGAGACTGAGTGAACCCAGGGCCATAGTGAGGTTGGAATTGTTAAATGTCAGTCATGCTTACTTTCATCCATTACCATTCTCCTTCAAACAGTATGCAAGGAAAACAAATAAAGCCCTCTTCATGGGGCAACCACCCAACCAAGAAGCTCTGGAATATCAGTTCTTGTTAAAGTATTAATTTATATGCTTACCTAAACCTTTATGCACAGACTGTGTGATCTGTATGTCTGATATTCTGAGTATCGAGGCTACATAGCATCAGTCCAAGTCATTTTCTTTTTCCCCATATTGCCTCAAATTGAAAGTCATTTCTTAGAATCTTGCAACACTATTTGTCTTCAGAATATTTCACTTTTATGTTTGAGTGTAATTAAACAAACCCATTATTCACACAAAACACTGCAAAATATAAAATTAAAGAAAAATACACTGAAGTATACATACGGCTTTCTGTGGGTACTGCATCACAGAACTACAGACTACGCAAACTATGGGTCGGGAGTACAGAGCAGCAAGCTGTATATGTTTCTGCTGTAACTCACTGAAGCACAGCTGGAATAGTGGAAGGCTGAAGCAATCAGGGGATTTTCTCACTTGACCGGCTTGTAACGAAGTAAGCCATGTATTTCCTCAGAACCCCCCTCTCACACTCAGCATTCCATCCCTTCACCAACAACAAACGTCAAATGGGTTCCTTCTTCCTTGACAATGAAGCATAACAACTAGGCCGAAAGCATGTCCTTTCTTGCGTTCTGATTTTGGGTGGGGCACTGCCCTGAGTGGCCTAGTGGGTTGAACTGTTACTGCCTAAATGGGTGGATCCTTCAGTCCTTATTGTGCAATGCATTTCTGCTGAAATCACTATTCCCATGACTTCACCTGTTGTCCGTACTTCACTGCTATAACATAATGTTGGTCTCACCTGTGTCTTTAAAAATTGATATTCTTATATGGCTAGAAACTAGTGATTGTTTTGCTGGGCTGGAAGTTCTCACAGCCGTGACTCACTGTGCTCTAATGACATGCAGTCTGTTAAAAGTCACTGGCATGCCTCCATCTTCAGGGTCAGAGTGTAAGCCAAGCAGGGAACCAGCTTTGTTTTTAACCCATAAGATGGTGACAATACATTTTTCTAAAATCTCAGTGGACTTCTGGGCTACATAGTGTTACATCCTAGAAGATAGAACTGTTCATAGCAAGGTCAGTTCCCTCAATGTATTAATTGGAATGTTTCTTTCCAGGAGTAATTGGCACAGATTTCCAGGCTCCTGCATATTAAATCTTCTGGCAACATGAATGTAGTAGTGAAGAAACCATGTGTCATACTTAACATTTTTTTTTTCTCCAAAACACATTGCTGGAAATTGAAGTGTTCGAAATGTGGTTGATAATCCATAGCTGCTATCCAATAGCATCATTTAGAAATGATTTTGGACCGGATTGTCTATCTGAAGAAGAATAGGAAATGTTGGCAGAAAGGCAGGGTAGAAGAGCGCCGTAATTGATACAAAATTTCGTGTAAACCAATATTTTCACTGGGAAATGGGAGTTTTGTTCTGGAAGATTTTTCATAAAAAAATATTGGCATTGCTGCATACCCTGTGTGTGAATTTTGTTCTGTTGTGGATAATGTCCGAAGATACATATTCCAATTTCTTGAGGTAATTTACATTCAAGAGCTGTGCTCATTTATTTGTGCTGCAGTTTTTTTGGCAGTGAAATGATATAAATACTGAAATTTTGAATTATAAATACAGTATGTTGTAAATTCTGTGTGTCGTACTTAATCTTGCTCTTTTGAATCTAATGATTACTTATGGCCATCAGGTAATTTGTTGTGCAAGTTTAATTTCTAAGTCATAGTGTATGGTTCGTTGTTTTAAATTCTTTTTCATGGACAAATCTATGCCTTTGAAGTAGAAACAGTAATATCCATTGTAAATATGCGACTTTGGTGGAGACAGTGTTGTTTGCTGTTGTTTCGGACTTCACACAGTATTAGCTGTGTTCATATTTCATGTAGAAAGCAGTTGAAAGCAGGCAGCATGCTCTGTTCACTATACCCATTACAGTAGGAGCTGAGTTATACACTTTGGGTATTCTCATATTGTTATGAAAACAGATCTTGTTATTGCCTGGTGAGACATAGTCAGCTCTTGTGGATCAAGTTAAACATCTTCTTTGGACATTGTCCATGGTCTAGATGAAAACTGTGTTGGGTGTTTTGGTAACTGGCTCTGTTTGAACAAGTCTGAATATTAACTCCCTTAAAATTATTAAACTATGGCCACATAACTTCAGAACCATAGATGTCATTATGTTTTGTACCCTTCCTTAGACTAATTAGTTGGTAAAATGACTCTAGACTGAGGAACCAGGATTTTATCCCAGTCCGGGTATTGAGATTTTTAACTTCAGTTTCCTAGATTGGCTCTTATGTACTATCCAGGGATGTATCCTTCAAGAGTACAGGCAGCTGACACTTAATATAAATGTTGAAGCATTGAGCTCTTATATATGTGGAATTATATTTGTAGACTGTCTGGTTGACCTGCATAATGTGCAGTTAGAGGACATTAATTTACATGTCTCTTAATTCTGTATTGTTTCAAACTACTACATAATAGTGCAGATGTGTCACTAAACCTGAGGCTTAATTGTTAAGCCTGGGATTGGTCTAGACATATCATCATACTCACTGGATCAGAAAAAGAAGGCCCAGAAAGGGAGTACAACCTCTGTAGTGATAAGTTTCTGGGTGTCTTACCTGTGCATTGTCCCACATTTTGCCTGCAGTTACCCAGTTTTATATTGCAGTGACTGCTGGCTTATGTCAGTGTTCTTATGTCCATGACATGTACCCAGTCTTTCCTAGTAGTAATTGTTGTTCTGTGCCGTCTGCCAGCCTGGTTGTATTAGAAGTTGGAGTGCTTAGGCAACTTTGATGAATGCAATTTTAAGTGTCAGCTAAGAAAAGAAGTTGATGTGACAAACATGCAGTCAGTCTGTTCCCCCTTTTCTTTTTGGACCATGGGTTTTGACCACCACTTGCAGAGGCATGTTCTTAACATGCCCTGTTTCTCACAAAACAGCTATGTATTGCTTTCTAGTCTTATGTGAGCCATCATACTTTTTTATTTTTGTTGTGTTTTTGTTTGTTTGGATCCTTTTTTGTTCAACTATATCGTGAACTTGTGTAAAGAAATATGTATATTCAAAGAAACATTATATGTAAAGAAATAAAGTTAGTATGATGATTTGTCTGTTGATGTTGTGTGCACATTTTTGTATGTATTGCAGAGCAGTTTAAGGTGATACTATAGAGGACACTGTTATAGACAACTTGTCATTGGATGTCATTTTGCAAGCCATATTATGATGTACAAACACTGCTATTTATTTGCATTACCAAAGATTTTAATTTGACACTGATGGTTCATGTCAGTTGGTAGGACTGTGTTCACAATTTGTGTGACTGACAACGAAGCCAACTTATGACCTACCAGGTTCACATGTAGCAGAAAGACATTAACATACTTTTGCCCCAAAGGTACTGCAGCAATTTAATTTCTGTGAAAAAGAAATAAAAGGATGGAGAATACTCTCTTCTGGAATGTGGAAGGATTTTTACCCACCTGTTTGTTAGCTTCTGGGTGACTATGTACCCCTAAAGTTTACCCACAGTTACGTTTACCGTCTGTTGAATCTGAGAAGCAGAGACATCTAGCTCGACATATAGGATGTGTTTGAAAGGTGAGAGAAGTTGTACCTGAGGAAGAAATGCACCAAAATATGAAGATTGCTAAATGAGAATATGTGGATCCTCAGTTAAAACCTGAAGTTATGTACTAGCAATATATTATCTTTATCAGGAGAGGATAACCTGATAGGAAGAAATCAGGACACACATGGTTGATCGTGATGATTGGTAACCCTGAGGACAATAATATGAAGTGCCCCTGTTGGAGCCTCTCTTCCCTTATTGCTCTGTTGTGGGATGTCATGTAAGCATGCGACATACATAGTGTTATGTCAGACTTTATTATACTCATATGTACTGAGAATTAAATGTTGATTGTTTATTTTGAATAACTTATGTGATGACAAATGTTTTTATTAAGCAGAAGAGTCAGTTTTCAATTTTTTGGTGATTGCCTTGTCAGTAGTTCCTAAATTAAATGATCGTTACAGTAAAGAAACTGGCACTTTATTTATATGATGGGAAATTTAAGAGGTCAGCTTTCTGTTCTTTGGTTTCAGTAATGGGAATTCTCATTTTGTTATTCATGTTCTTAGTGTCAGTACTGCAAGGTACAGTTCATACAATACCATGTGTGGTATGAGTGTTAGTTTTGTTTGTCAACAGCTTGACATTGCAGTTCAGGGTTGTCCACTTATTTTGAGTCCCAAGTTTTTCACACATACACAGTCTTCTGAAAGTAGACTGTAAAGTTCCTCGTAGTTTTATTGTGAGTAATTCATTCTAGTATTTATATTACACATACGTGAATAAAACTGGGTGGCATTCATGGAAACACCTTCTATGTCAGTGGCTGTATGCTATCACTATTTATTTTTCTTGTGTGTATGCAACATTCCAATGGGTGTCTGTTATGGGACTGAAGTTGATGAGGATACCTTCATATCCGTTACACATTGTGCAGGGTTGTAGTCCTAGAAATATGAGTGCTGAGGCAGTCTGGAACAAGTTTCCAGGTAAAAATAATTGTCATGAATCATGTTGTAAGGCTGTTCTTGTTGTTACTTATCAATAACTTTGTACTTTTAGATGCAGAACTGAATAACAAACAGCTCATGAAGTGCACATACATAAGGAGACTGATGCTTTTGCCCCAGATAGAGGGGCTGGAAATTCAATAAGCTAAAATTTATTTATACTTCATATTATTGTTCTTAAAATGTGCCAGAGCAATGCTGTGGCACTCAGAAAAACACTTGGGCGCCTCCCTGGCTTGACTGCAGTTCTGCCATTATGCAACACTTCACACATTCATGGGAGGGTGTTTACATCAATTTTATAGGTTGAACCATGTACATTACTATGTTAAATATATATGTATACTGTATCAAGAATACTGGTCCGCAAGTAGTCAGCATTACTTTTGAGAGAGCAAGGAGTCACAGAATTGGTACGGTACAAGTGACAGTGTTGACTGCTTATGGACAGGTGAACTGATATAAACTGGAGATAATGGAATACTACTACTGATGCTGCTGCTAGTACCACCACCACTACTGTTGCTGCTGCTGCTACTGCTACTACTACTACTACTACTACTACTACTAATAATAATAATAATAATAATGACCAGTCAGGATGTGCCAGCATGTTGATGTTATAGGATTTAAGAATTGTCATTAAGGCATGAAAGTTTAAAATGTTAATATGTGTAATGCTGAAGCATGTTGTTGAGTCTTCTTGTTTGAAAGAACCAAGACAAATCAGAAGCATTACCTCATGCAGAGCAATAAGACTACACTTCACTCGTTCATTTTATTTCTCTTTGCTTAGTTGTGGACATGCAGTGTTGAGAACTTGGTACTGCCTGATGTTCAAGAGTCAGGAAAATCTGTGATTTTGACTTGACTCCCTTGGCTCAATATTCCTGAGTCATTACATTGTGCTTTAGGTAATTGTGTGTCATGACAATTAGAATTCAAGCATCTTTCTACTTATTTAACAATATTTAACAAAATTTGGTATCAGCAGTCAGATTTTTGTGGTCCTGTTTTGTCATCTCATCAGTTTGTGCTGCCGTTTGTTAAATTGTTGCCAACTTGATGTTCTTCATATTCCTTTATATTTGTTATATATTGTTTTTTTTGTATATGTCTCAGTATTTAATTTGTCACTCATGCATTTATGTTATTTGTTCTTAAAGTGCTGTTAATTTATTATTATTATTATTATCATCATATAAATGAAATAAGTAACAAAACATTAAGAATAACATGAGCATCAGACAAGCCTAAAAAGTGATTCATAAGTTGGACATTTTCCATTAACTTGTATTGATTGAGGCAGCATGTTAAAATCTGGCTTTGCTTCCATCATGAGGTAAAAATGAAAAACCTGTTCTGTTTGGTCCACCAGAGGGAGCTAATGTCTATTTCTGAATATGCCCATTTCATACTTTTCCAGATGACAGAAGCAGAGCCATCTTTCAAAATGTTTGTCCTCAACCAAAACAAGATAACAGAAATTGTCCGAAATATAAGTCAGCCTTTCATGGACACAGTCTAGTTCTGTATGCATGAATACATATATACAATCTTACAGTATATGTTTGGTATCTAATGAGATACTGGTGTATATTTTGGTGAGCCTCCACATGGAAATGATTGAGAATCATAGATCAGTGACTCCGTGGTTTAGACGTAACTTCCAAGTTCTTGTAGAATATTTGATAAAAAAGGTTAATTGAATATAAGCATTTCTTTACCTCAGAGAAGATCTGCCTGCTCCTCATCTTCTGTGGTATTGTTTGTATGGTACATTGATCCATGACACAATACTGTACTGTATGGAGTCAGTTTGCTGTGATGGGCCCAAGTGCAGCTTCTGATGGTTAATGTACTCGTATTGTTGTCCTAGCTTTACATAATAGTTCTCTCATCAGTGTTTATTATAGAAAGACACTCAGAATTTGACACTGGCTGAATTAATTGTCTATGGGGATTCACCCTTGGTTTTTTAATGTTTTTTGTACCTGCAGGTGATTTCAACTGTTTTTAGAAGTAGCCAGTTAATTTAATGACATCACTATATTGTTTCTAAACCTTACTGCATATTATGAATTATGAACAAGCTACAGGTTGGATGACCAAGGGATCAGTGTTCTATTATCAGCAGGGGAAGAAATTTTTCTGTTCTCCACAGTGTCCAGACCAGCTCCAGGACCTACCAATCTTCATATTCAGTAGGTACCTGGGGGCTCTTTCCCTGTGCATAAAGCAGTTGCGTTATACCTCTGTTCCCCATTTGTCTTTATGGCATGGTGCTTAATTAAGCAGGGGGGACAACTGCCATTACAGTAAGATTATTGTTACTGAGTTACTGCTCAACACTGCAGATACATGTATGTGTACTTACTTTCTAATGAATCCCAGTTGCTGAATGAGATAGTGTTGTGAATTTGTTGCAGTTCCATTGAGAGTAATGTTATAATAGGAGTGTTCCAATAAACTAGAAATGAGTAATATTTATGTAATACGAATATATACATAAATGACATGTATTATTGATATAGGTTATCAAAGAAAAAAGGAATTCATATTTATGGCTACTTCAAAAAACATTTAGAAGTAGGGTAAAGAAAGTAATTATCGCAGAAGTTGTAGTTTCATCTATATTGAGTTGTATTGCTGAGTGATGTTTTATGTTATGTAATTTTTGTATGTTGCCAGAGTCTTAATTGGCCTTGCCTATCAATCAAAGATTGTTTTGGTACAGTGCTGTGTTGTACCATTGTGACTTGATCATAGAACAACAAATAAAGTATAAGTGTTTAAAGTACTGTTTTCTGACTGTCCTATTTAACTGTTTTATGCTTAACTCAAGGGGCACGCGGTAGCATAGATGATTGAGGCACTATGCTACAAACTGGAAGGTCATGGGTTCAAGTCCCAAAGAGGTCATTGGATTTTTTCAGTTGACCTAATCCTTCCAGCTGCACTGTGGTTCTGGGGTTGACTCAGCCTCTAACAGCAATGAGAACCAGGAATATTCATGGGGGTAAAGGGTGGCCAGCGTGTAGGGCTGACAACCCTGCCGCCATCTATGAGCCGATTGTCTAGAAAATGTGGGAACCTCAACATCTCACAACCCTATGGGCCTCCACGGCCTGTTACAGGGATACCTTTACTTTTTTACTTTATGCTTAACTCATTTCACTGAGCAGGTTAGTGTAGTGGTAACACTCCACACTCTTATTTGGAAGGTGCTCATATTTTGAGCAGGACACCCACTATCTTGATTTATTTCTTGCAATTCCTCCAGGCAAGTGTCACAATGCTACCTTGATCAGACTGATTGCTTCCTTCCAAATCCTTTCCAGTTCAACAGTTCATTGTCCATCAGGCATCCTACCATTAGCATATGGTCTAGATACTGACACCATTGTAAAATACTGCCCTCCAAATGAATTCCTGCATATATAAAATTAATTTTGATTTCCTTTTCTTCCTTTAGAGTGGACGAAACAGTATAACCACGTGGTTCAGCCCAAACAGGACTGATGAATGCCCAGACATCCAGCTCCTCTCACATATACCTTCTTATTCCCAGGTTTGCTCATGATTACAGTTACTAGTCTTTCCATGTAGACTGAGGGTGTTTGAGGAGAATATTTGGACCGAAGAGAGATGAAGTGACAGGAGGTTGGAGAAAGCTGCATAATGAGGAGGTTCATAACTTGTACTCTTCTCCAAGTATAATTAGAATGATTAAGTCAAGGAGGATGAGGTGGGCAGGTCATGTAGCACGAATGGGGGAGACGAATGCGTATGGGATATTGGTGGGAAAGCCAGAAGGAAAGGGACCACAGGGAAGACCAAGATGTAGGTGGGTGGACAATATTAAAATGGATCTTAGAGAGATGGGATGGTATGGATTGGATAGATCTGGCTCAGGATAGGGACCAGTGGAGGGCTCTTGTGAACACAGTAATGAACCTTTTGGTTCCATAAAATGCTGGGAAATTCTTGAGTAGCTGCATAATTGGCAGCTCCTGCAGAAGGGCTCAGCTCCATGAGTAAGTAAGTAAGCAAGTCTTTGCATGTGTAAAAGCTATACAAGATTTGACATACTATTGCTGGTAAATATTGTGATTACTGAAGAAAGTCGTCTCCCGGGTTTTGGCGCCGTGTATTCTTCGTTTTGTCGCCAAAACGCAGAAGACGACTTTCTTCATAGTCATCGCCACGAAAACCTCAAAACTTACATTGTGATTACTGACTTCCGGGATGTAATGTTGTGTAGTGTGGCAGATAGTTACTGATGTTTCAGAGAAACCCGCTTCTGCCATCTTCACTTTAAAACTTTGTTTACACTATCAGCTGTTTTATCCCACTGCTTAGGTAAAATATTTTCAATACTGGTAAGTCAGTACCTGTTGGCTTCAGTAAGGTGGTAGATGTAATGAGTGAATCGAACCATAGAACAAGTTACTTCATGTGCAGAAACAATGGAAGTGGTAAAACATAAACTGTCTTTAACCCTCAAATACAGTGTTCTGGTTCATACGGATAGTTTTGCTAATTTTTAGACTACTTTCAGAAAAATAAAAGTATGCTTATGAGATCAATTTGCTGTCTCTGTGTTGTCTCCCCTATTAATTTTTGAATCCTTGAACCAATCTTTATGAATCATCATCTTCATGGATTACGCCATGCGCGGTCTGTTCCATCCTCTTAAAAAGTATGCTGGTACCTTCACCTTAAATGTGGGCACCTTGTATTTCATTTTCTTTTTGGAATCCATCTTCATTCATTCATTGCATGTGATCTGATTTGAGAATTTTAATCTTTATGCACCTTGGTATGTACAGGTATGTACACCTGAGCCCATCTCAACAGCATATGTACTTCATAAATCCCTCTCATCAGTCAGTGTGTATCCTATCATTGCTAGGCAACAGCTTGGTAAACATAGTTATGCGGCAATGAAGAATAGTTGAAGGCTTCATTTTCTATGGGGTCTATATCTTATCAAAGGAGAGTAGGTGATCAGTTCTTCCCAGAAATTCCTGTTTTATTTTACAAGAGAGCAGTCTCTCTTTTTCAGTTCACACTACCAAATGTTGTATCACTGCTCCTAACACTGTTAAGAAAACACAACACGAACATATGCTGCCCCATGAACTTATTCATGGTTTAAATATGATGCTCGCAGTTAGCTCAGATTGTGCAGTGTGAAATAGATGATTAGTGAATACCAAATCAGAAAAGATGTGGTAGGAAGTGACCTCCTCTGTGGTCTAGTGGTTAGAGTTTCTGGCTACAGATCCAGAGGTCCGGGTTCGATTCCCAGTGCTACCAGATTTTTTCTGATAAGTAGTGGGTCTGGAATGGGGTCCACTCAGCCTTGTAATGATAATTGAGGAGCTATTTCAAGGAAAGGGCGGTTCCAGTCTAGAAAACTGAAATTAACGGCCGTGGGCATTTGTTATGCTGACCATGTGACACTCTCTGTCCGCTAAAGTTGGCACTAACTTCGCTGACAAGCAGCGGTCGCTCAGTTGGTAAGTTCACTTGCGGACTAAAACCATGGAGTTTGTTTTGTGGTAGCAAGTGATCATGGCCTAATTTTAGGTACTATCCTAGCATTTGCCTGGAGGAACAGTGGATAACCATGGAACCTCCTGAATACAAGTCAGAAGCTTTACTGCTTGAGCCAACTTTCTTTGAGAAAATGAGATATAAGAGGGCTGCCGTATGAAGGAATCACATAAATTAGTATACAAAACTTTATTAAGGAACTTTCTGATAGCTTATACAACACAATAAATGCAAGCAGTACCTGTTTTCAACATAACCGTATCCAAAAATGTGACATATTCATCAGGTACTTCATCGTAAAGTCATGTTCAGTAAAACTATTACACAAGTTTACAAAATGTTTATTGCTACAACATACTGTAAAACTCAACAGCCTCAAACTCTCATGCATTTGCAGCTGCAATATAAGTATTAAGAGTTCAAGAACTTTGCAATGAGTTAGAAGGTTTTGTCTCTTGGAAGTTACTTAGGAGGGTAATAGAGAAAAGTAATCAATCATTCGACATAATTGAGGAACTGTGACTGTCTTGTCAACAGCAGATTCCATTAACAACTGTGTGTGTGTGTGCGTGTGTGTAATACAAATTCTGAGTTGCAATGATCCTATGCTGTCAGGCTGTAGCCTCAGAAGTGCACATGGTTCTACAGAGTGGCTGTAGATTTTGAAAACACAATGCTGGAGAATGATTTGACACTGCCCAGTGTGACTCAAAAATGTGTGTGTTTGTATATATATGAGATGCCTTTACATGTTTCGGTCAATTAATGACCACCTTCATAAGTCAAATAACACTTGAGGAAACTACTATTACATAAATCCAAGTTCAAAGTTGTCCAAAATTTTATATATAAAGATTTTAATTAGGCTAAAATTTGGCGAGTTAAAATATTAATAAAACTCTTAATATTTAAAATCTTAAACTGTTAATGTTTGTGTCTTTGTGCTCCTCCTATCAATGGGAGATTGCGTAGATTGCCACCCTCGGAGGTCTGGGCTGTGTGTTTTCTTCTTTATATAGTTGATTAAGAGTCTGTGTTTGTTGTTGAGCTGCTTCTCCTTTCGTTGTTTGTTGAGGCACTGTGCTTCAGGGGGCCCAAAGACACGAAACTTAGTGGTTTAAGATTTAAAAAAATTAAATAGTTTTATTAACATTTTAGCTTAATTAAAATCTTTGGACAACTCTGAACTTGAAGTACCATGATTTATGTAATAGTAGTTTCCTCAAGTGTTATTTGTCTTCTGAAGATGGTCATTAATTGACCAAAACATGTAAAGGCATCATATATATATTGTAACATGTTTGGCCACTGAAGACGCTGTTCAGATTGTTAATTGGTCTATTTGATAATCTATCAGTAGTAACTACAATTGTTTATAACACTGTTGTGGGTTTAGACAATTTACAAACCCTACACACTAATCTGTTCACTATATCTTCAGTGGTCTTCACATATTTATAATGCGGGAGCTATACAAGTCTCTCTGAATTACACACTCCCAATATAACTGTACCACAGCACACAATAAGTCTTCACTGGCTGACTTCTCAGTTATCACACACTATCACTGATTACGTGTTCAGTTCTTCTTCCCGCGACTGCTGCTATACTAGACTGCAACTGCTTACGCATTCCAATTACTCTTATAAACCCTCATTTGGACAGAGGAAAATGCACCTCGCTTTACTGTTTCGTAATCACCGTGTTTACAGAGGCGTTGCTGGGCAATGCTGCCGATTGCCTAGCAATAGTGTCTGTACGGACTCCCCTGCTGCGTGACGTCACAGCCTAGCAGGGAGAGGTGTTTACCGAGCATTGTGTAGTGATAGAAGGAGTGGGGGTATGTGACATCACTTGCAGAAATGCAGAGTTCATGTGACCCCTACTTCCTGTTGTGCCATCCATGTTAAAATATATATACACACACACTTTTGAGTCACACTAGATGGTGCAGTCAAATCATTCTATAGTACTGACTAGTGTGATGGACCAGAATGAATAAAGTTAAACACAATACTGAACTTTGATGTAGTTCATTGTAATGTCATGCCTTGTTACACTCTGTCTAAAACATTTCTCAGGGTGCATCATATATGAATAGGCAACCTAACATAAGAAAATTCTTGTGTGTTCAGTGAGATTGTGTGTGTGGTGATTTTGGCTCCCATCATGAATTGAAAACAGACTCCACTAATTTTTAAATGATGACACAACCTCAGAGATATTTTAAATACG